TCTTCCAATGAACAACTGGGTTTTTTTAATTTACTAAAGTGTTTTAAACTTATGTTCATAAATAAATAAGTTAGGCTATCTAGCATAATATTAATATGAGCCAACATTAACTCCAATATCCTTATTAGGAAATGGTATAACATTTCATTGGCTTGAGAAGGTCAGTTTATCAAGGAAGACAACATAATGCATAGTATATGTCCTAAAAATCACAGCTTTAATGTAGAAAGGAGAAACAGACAAATGCACCACTCTTCCTAGCAAACAATAAAAGGGAATTTCAGCACCTGTGTTGTGGGTCCAAGAACAATTCCTAAGGTTGGTCCCACTGATTTGTTTGGTGCATTGCACTCAATAATGGTGCAGCTCTTAACAATGACAGAGCTCACCAACAGTGGCAGTTTCCATAATGCCCAAGTCTCCTGGAACACTGCCAAAATTAAGCATATGTTGGACCACCAAGTAAGTCACCATAAAATTAAATTGACAGAAATTCTATCTGTGAAAAATTGCAAAGAAAACAATGATACAAGAAATTTTCGATTGCTTGAAAATGAAGCACCACAGGTTTAAATAATCTGTGGCCCAGTGTAGAAGTCCCAACAGACATCAGAAAGCAAAAAAGAACAAAATGATGTCATTTTTAAACATGGGAATATTTACATAAGAAACGAATTTCCAGGAAATCCAGAGATTGTGAACTGGAAAATAAGAGGAAACGGGCAAGTCGGTTCTGGGAAGAGCTTCAGAGCTGACCGACTGTTTCCCAGTACAGACAGCCAAGCAGGTTGCACTGTAAGGAGTCAGTCACGGGCGAAGAGAAGGGAGTGAACTGATAACAGCCTCGTGGGTCAGAACTGTTGACAGCATGCTAAGTTTCCACAGGACAAAGGAACCAATGCTGACAAGGCCTGAATCTGCCTGCTGAAATGTGAAGTTCACGAGCACTTGGGTACCAATTCTGTCAACCCCAGCTTCAGCGTGAGAAGATGCTACCAAGAAACCTATCATTTCCTTCCCTTTTCTTGTTTGTTCAAAGATGAACTCTCAGAGATCTGCATAGAATGCAAGCGTCTTTCTCTGTTTCTTCCGGCAAGGCTTTCCGCTTGGGTATACCTGTCACTCAGCAGGGCATGTTGTTTTTTGGATCCTCATCTGATGTTGGTTCATGGGTATCAGTGTGTTTCCTCCACATTCCCATCCTTTCCTGTTGTCTCAGGAAAGGTTCCCACACAAGGTTTTCTACCTCAACTGCTTGGCCGATAGATGCTATAGTTAGCATTTCACAGTGTCTTCCAGGCTCCTAAAGTTTTGCTATTGAATTATTTGTGGATGTCTCCCAGCCCCTGCCACCAGGTCCGGTCTCCTTGTCCTTTGTATGGTTTCCAGAAAGATATTTAGCATTTGGCATTAACCAGTGTCATCTTCTTTGTGGAACCAGAACAGTTCGTGCGATGGTGAAGTGGTGACGTTAGGAAGATGCACAGATAGTGATACAAGTCAACTTTCACATATTTTCTGGACTATTTAGTGAGCACCTGTAATATATTCAGACATCTGTGCCTGCTAATTTGGTTGTCAACTTGGCTGAATTAAGAAGATGCCTAGAAAACTGGTAATTTTCACTTCTAGGAGTATCTGTGAAAGGGGATTTTGAGAAGACTGTTTCCCGTGTGAAGGAGCTGGGCAGATAGGAATCCCCGGGGATGGGAAAGACCACGGGAAAAATGGAACACAAAAGCAGAAGTAGGAAACTAGCCTTTGCTCATGCTCCCGTTTCTGGGCAAGCACCCTTGTTCACTGTTGTTGTCTAAGGACATGAGACTCCAGGTTCTTTAATTATTGACCACAGACTTGCACAAGTGGACCCGTCTCTAGGGACAGCCAAGCCTTTGGTCCTACTTAAACTGGGGCTGCCCTTGGCCCTTCTGCCATTCTGAGGCTTCCACCTTATTCAGTCTGGGAAGATGTGCTCTCCATCCTGCAAGCATTCACTGTGGGACTTTTCAGCCTCTGGGATCCTCTGAGTTAGGCAATAAGTCATCTTCTGTAATAACATTCTTTTGGTTCTGCTTCTCTGGAGAAGGCTGAGTAATACAGCCAACCCCCAAGGAAGTATTTCTAATAAATGTTAAAAGTCTACACAGAGTCACTCACAAAAGAAATGTGCTCATTGAGTATTTTCAATATCTACCCAAATTAAGGAGGTTAACTATGGATTTTTAACACATTTTAAATTGTGTTACTATGTGCATTAAGGTAATATTTACTTCTGTAGTATCACAAGGAACTGCCGTAATTTTCTGGTAAGCACACAAAGCCACAAAACAAATGGCTTTCTTACATAGACCATGTAGAACTAACTCTAGAATAAATCTTGTAATAAATTATCTCTTAGCCATTGCATAACTGGCTATAAGTCTTCTACTACACACTTACCTGTAGGTATCACTTTGACGATAGTGAACACCCAGTATTTTGAAAACCAGGAAGATAATAAAAAATAGAATGAAAAGCTTTCATCAAATAGGGTTTAACACTGGTTTAGGGCCACCACAGCCTGTAGACTGTGGTCCTCACTGAAACACAAGGAGAAGGCTTGGAGTGAAAGCACATCCAGGAGAGACCAGATCAACACACCACAGACAGAAATTCTCCTTCATACAAACATTTATTTTCAGAGTGTAAGAAGTTAAACAGCGTGAAAAGCACTACAGGCGAGGCTGGGCTGTTACTGCAGCCCAGGATTCTTTACTGTTGGGCCTCAAGTGTCCAATAATAAGAATATAAAAATGTAGATTGCAGAAATAAGAATGTAGAAATAACGAAATATAAAGTTGTAAGCCTAGGAGAACGAGAAGAGACTGTCAGCAGCCTTCTCAGCAGCTTGAGGATTAACATGGGTTACTCTGCTTTACAACCCATAGCTCTATTAACAAGGCAGAAGCATCTCTCTGCAAACTGAGAACCTACACCCCCGGCCATCCTTGATTAATAACAGATGTGAGCTGAGCTAACTTTTAGGAGATAGACACATGACCTCTGGGTTACACGTTATCCCTGCTATATGAAACTGGCAGCATCAAAGGGGAGAGCACAGGGGTTCAGTAAAGAACCCCTGGAAGTACCAAGAAAGACAACAGATTAAGTACAAACACTAGTTTAACTGAAAAACTCTGATTGTAAAGTAAGGCAATCTATGTCTGAGTTTTTCATCGAGATTGTAAAAATTTCAAAGGCCCGTTCACAAGCGTTCACACAAAGGAAACCAGAATGAAGTTATTCAGGGAACCCAGAGGGATTGAAAAAAAATAAATTCGGGAAGCAGGTAACACTTTTCTTATGTTTTCAGAAGACTTGTTTGCTATTGTATTAGTTACTATGGGGCAGGGCATGTCCTCTTTAACTTGTTTGCATCCTTCAGGTGCAGTTTGGGTCAAAGAAAGCCCATCCACCATAGTTTATCACAATGGAATTTAAAAACCCTATGATAATTACTTATTTTTATTGATATCCCACAGTGACAAAGCAATTCAAAGCTACAGTGTTTCTGATAAAAATGCAACAAGTTCTACAGCTCCAATATCCAGGATGCCAACCTGCCTCCTCCTTGAGCCCCTACTACAGCAGTCCCTGAAATGTGTGTGTCTAAAACACTAAGTATAAATTGATTTTTGGGTTCAGGGAATTTGTAACAAGATTTCTAGGTAAGACAGCCTTTCAAGGAAACCTGGGAAGCTACTGGGTTGATTTGTTTACAGTTAATTATTATTATTATTATTATTAATTATTATTTGTTTACAGTTAATTATTGCCTAGGGCAGGTTCTTCACACATTTTCTTTCAAATTTTATTACCTTTATAATTTTTCAGCAGCGAAAATGAACAAGCAAGACAAGAATTCCCTTTCCTTTCTACCGATTCTTACAAAGACCTCCACTTCTATAACCCGTGATGGGGAATCTTTGACAACCAATTATTTTAAGAAGTGGGACCAAGTTAGGGTGTGGCTTTCTGGGACCCTGAGAAAAATGGGGTGGCCTGGGTGCCCTCTCTCTGTGTGGTTCCCTAGCAGCACAGCTGACCTTTGGACGTCTCATTCCTGTTTTGCGAGTTTTCCCCTTATAATATATTATAAAAATACAATTGTTTTGTCTTTTAGCTAGCCTGATTATTTTTCAAATCAAGCTAACTTCAACAAACCTGCCTCCTTGCCTCCTGTATTGTCAATCTTGATCTGAGCACACATTATAGACTCTTGTCTGAAGGTGACACAGAAATTACAACTGAGCATAAAAATGAAATTATGCATTTGTCAAGAAGAATACAGAGCTTGTATTTATATTATTTTACCTTTAATGTTTCTATTTAGCTCTACACGTGAACTTGTCCAGGCTTTGTTCTCAATTAGTTTCAAAAAAATTGCAATTACTCATCAAACAATTAGACAAGCCAATGTCTAATCTGCCATTTTCTGATCTGCCTGCATTAGGCGCTGCATGGAGCGATGGCTAGCAGAACTACTTTCATGCATAAGCTGAAGCATGCCATTCCTTCAGAATTACCTAATAATAGAGCAGAAAGTGAGGTGAAGAATTCACTCAACACGGGAGCCAGAATTGGGACAGCACTCTTCACAGGGCAAATCTCACTTGTCACCTGTTTTTGGAAGTGAAGATGTGCTGGGGCCAGTCATGTCCATCACATCCCAAGGCTTCTACCCACCCACAAAACTGGGCTGATTGGTCTGTCCAGAGATATTTTAAATTAAATAGCCTAAAATATTTCTAGTCTGACTCCAGGTAAAAGAAAGCAGCCACCTCTATTATGTGGCCGATTCCCTGTCGTTGCCCACATTTCCAAACTCTGGCATCTCTTTTTACACCAACAGGCTCCTTTTCTTAAACCTCAAGTGTAAACAACTGTATCTCATAGCCATGCCCTATTTATTGTTTGGTACAGTTTAAGTCACATGATATAATTCTTAAATTTTTGCTTACTTGACCTCCTGTAGGCTGGTTATCTGCTGACAGGGGCCGTGTGCTCTAAAGGACCTCACCAGCGTGGACCACGAAGAGACACTGCTTCAAAGAGCCAGAGGGCCATGTGTCGGCATGGACTCTGCAGGAGCAAAAGGCAGGGCTTAAAGACATAGAATCACACACTGACTGACCCCCTATTCCTCAAAATTATGGCTAGCTATGGAGCTGATCATTCTGTTAAAGACAAGACTTGCGTGGAGAAAATATCAAAAATCGGTCTGAATTGTTTTGTTTTGTTTTATAAATTTTCCCTAAAGTCTTCAAAATGTCCCAGACTATAAGTGATGCCCATGTTGACTGTAACTCTGATAATAACTCAAAGCAAACAAGATGTCAAAAATGCTTGTTGGCTTTGCATTCAATTACTAAATCTAAGCAAGATGATGATCATGGTATGCACCTGTTCTAGGATTCTCCACTCAGGCAATTAGAAATATAGTATATATAATGTCATTTATAAAGTATAGCTGCTTTGGGCGCTTGGTTACACGGTTAGAGAAGTTTAAAATGGGCTACCCCAATTTTGCTGTAGCATTTCATGCTTTTCAAAAGAGTAAAATAATAATTTCTATCTTTTAAAATAATTATATAACACCTTGGGCATATTCCAGAAGGACTATATTGATAGGAGGGACATCGTGTTCATAGCATGGCTATTACCTTAGATAAACTCTGATCATCACTGAAGTATAAAAATTACAAATTAAAAGAAGAAACACTGTGTTGCCCAAAACCTTCAGGCAAGTTTGTAAGAGGGTTTGGATATTGGCTCTGTGACTGACTCACAGATAGGAAAACTCTCCTATTTAGCCTGTAACACCAGCAGTCCACTCCAAGACCTCATCTCTGGTTCGGAAGACTAAACACCAGGGAGGTGAGGGCACAGCAGTGTAACATCTCCGCTCAAGGACATCCCTGCTAGAGCATCAACCTCTCACAGGTGCTACTCACTCCCTCTCCTTCTCTTATGCCCCTCTCCTGTCCCTTTCGCTCTCCTTCCACCCCCTACCATGTAAGGACATGGTAAGATGATAGCCAGAGGCAGGAAAAGACATCTTTCACTAGAAAACAAACCAGCTGGCTTCTTGTTCCTAAAATTCCCAGGCTCCAGAATGGGAAGAAACAAATTCCTACTGTTTACACCTCTTATTCTCTAGACTACTCTTACAATGCCCACAGCTGTCTAATACAAATTATCCCACTTCCTCATCAGTCAGGATAGCGGTTTTGCCTCCAATGCTTCTCGGCAAAAACTCCCGTATTTCCCCTGGCTTCCTACTGTGGTTCCTACTGCTGTGACAAAGATCATGACCAAAAAAGCAACTTGGATTGGCGAGGGTTTATTTCAGCTCTCAGTTTATAGTACACCATGAAGCAAAGTCAGGGCAGGAAGCTTAAGGCAGGAACTGAACAGAGGCCATGGAGAAAAGCTACTGACTGGACTCTTCTCTGTGGCTTGGTCAGCTGGCTTTTTATACCACCTCCTGGCCAGGGGTAGGGCCACCCACAGTGGACTGAGCTCTTCCCCACCAATCATGAAGATGCCCCTATGGGGAGGCCAGTGGGGCGTTTTCTCAACCGAAGTTCCCTCTTTCCAGATGATCCGGCTTTTGCTGAGGTGACAAAAACTAACCATCACCCCAAGAAACCAAAGTAATTCGATCCCGATGAACCAATTGCAGGACTAAGAAAAGGAACTGAGAGCTGAGAGGCTACCAGTCATTCACTGTAATGCTGAGCTATGGCTGTTACGGAGAGCCCACCCCTAACAAAGGATCCACACCAACCCAGGAGAAACTCAGCCCCTTAGGCCTCTGCCATCCCCCAAATCTCTAGCTGGAGTCAATGAGAGCCAGAAGAAGGTTAGAAAGCATGCTACACGGACTGCCCTCTTTCCCCTTCTCATCTACAGGTCGGGCTCGGATTGGGGCGACATGGGCAGAAGATGTCAGGATAGGACTAGATAATTAAATATTGTGAAAAATAGGAGAAAATATATAGAAAACAAAGCCCTGCTTCTATTCGCAGAAAAGAACTGGAGAACACTGTGTAACCTTTTGAGGTCTAAAATCTCAGTTTGAATGCATTTACACACTCGAGCATTACGTGGGAGAAAGCAATAAATAGCATTTATTTATTGCTATTTATTTATAGCATTTATTTAAATAGATATTTAAAAGTGTTAGAGGAGGTTTGGATATTCTGATTTAACATTCATCAGACAGCTATGAAATATATTGTTATTTTCTATAAAGGTACTTAGCCTGGTGATGCTTGGCAGGGGAAGCCATGTCCCTGTCATGTAGCACTCTGGAAACCCAACACTGTCTCAATCAAGGGAACAAGAAATGAATTTAACTGAACACCATCTCTCAAGAGTAACCAGTTAAGACACTTTGGTTTCCCTGTTGGAAAAGTTCTAGAAACGGTGAACAACGATTACTTTCTCTTAATGCCTTTTCTGTGTCTGATTTTCCAGTTTCTAGTGAGCCCCATCTTAAAAGTGTACAGAGCTGTGCTGTCGAACCTGATAGCCACAAACCCCACGTGATCTTCTGAGAATAAATGAAGTCAAATAGAAGGAAACCAGAAAACCACTTCCTCTTCCTGGAGCCAACTGCATCTCAAGTGTGGAAACGCTGGCGTGCTGTGTCAGACACTGTGGGGTCAGTGGCTGTCATCACAGCGGACGGACTAGGAAACACTGGTGGAGGATCAGTACAGGACTCACCTGCAGACAGACGTGGGTTTGAAACCTGACTTAGCCACTATCTAGCAATACCACCGGGTGAGTTAATTCAAACTGTTTTTATCGGTGGAATTGGGAAGGCGCTAATACCTACCTCACACAAGGGCTGTGCAATTCAGGTCATGCGTGTAAGCTCCATACAACAAGCCTAGGCACACAGAGAGCACGCGAAACCATTATTGTGTTTGCACTGTGGTTTTATTTCTGTATTTGTTTCTTTAAATGTGAAGGGTGATGGGTTGACTCTGTATCAGATCTAATAGGACAAGCAGGTTTGTACCTAAGATGACAATGGTCTACCGAGATGACACATATCTAGATAGGATTTCAAAACTCTCGAAAAGGCTCTCAAATGCCATCAGGAGGTGGGCAAAGGCTCACAGCTGAAGAGGAGGGGCAGCAATGGGGAGGTTCCCAAAGATGGAGAGTTGAAGGTAAGTTTCAGACAACATAAGGACCACAGCGGTAGAAGAACAAGACTAGAGAATGAGAGGAATCCCACCATGCTTGTAGAAAGAGATAGCTCTTAACTCCTAGAGAATATGAGTTTTCTTTCCACCCCACAGGCTAAGCCATGTCTTATCAAAATGATCTATTTAGGCTTGACTCTAACAGTGGTCGCTTCTGACCTTCTTCCTTCATTTGCATATTATCTTTATATAACTCTTATACATGCATGCCACTTCAAACTGTAGAAATAGCTATAGAAAGCTATTTCCTGAATTTTGGGGATTTGCTGTTAAACTACCTCCTTCCAGTTCACAGAAATGTATTAAACACAAGAGGTTCCCAGGTATGCATTTAAAATGCAGGCCCCCGCTTTTGATTCCTTCTGGAATTTATATAAAAAGATCCTTATAAAATTTATTCTTCATTATAAAACTTGGCAAATCATCACTAAGCAATTTTCCAGTCCTGCCACCAGAGATGATTGTTTAAGTGTTAATGCGTGTGCTGTATTTATAGCAGCCCAGCAATAGCAATCTCAGCGTGATCACTCTTGGCAGCCCCAGAAGACACACCTCACTGTTTGTCCCGGGAAGTATCCTTTGATAGTTGCAATGACGCGCACTCGCTGTTACCTGCTGATAATGTCCCGTCAAAAGGCACGACAGCTTAATGACACAGCACAGCGCCTTCTGGCAAATACCCGGATGCAAATATTTCTATTGCCTCCCGCAGCAGCACAGCAGTAGGGTTACCGCAGTACTCAGAAATCACACGATCAAATAAAGCCATCTAGGACAAAGCGGTTCTTTTATTAAACACTGATGTACTTTTGACCATAAAATCCTTTGGTGCTTATTCGGTCTACAAATGGTTTCACCAAGACTGACTGACGTTCTTTTATGCTTTAATTATTCTTGTTGATGAGACCTCAGGCACCACTCATTCTGAATACTTGACTTTTGTGCAACGTACAGAGTGGTTTACATTGTACGTCTGAATCAACAGAGTAGCCTCAGATTCCTGGAGTGGTTCCAGGAATCTTATGTCTAAGGCTCTGCTTGCTGGGCCCCTCCCCAACAAAGGAACCAAACATCTAATAATTGCAAGCCACAGCTTGCTGGACTGTTGCTATTAACAGGGTTTATTTGCCAGTTGGCATAATAGACTACTGAGCTCCTGTGCGGTGAATGCGGCTGCCGGTTTTCCTCTCCCTGACCTGGACAGCAGACAGTGTCCATACAGTCAATTGTCATTGCTTTGTCCTCAATAGGGTTGTGTGTGGTTGTCTGGGGGAGAGCGAGTAAAGCACTGGCCCCCATGACCGTGGACTTAACTCATAATTGCACCTTTTCTCCATGGGTCTCATTAGCTAGTTATCAACAGGCCAACTGTTACTCCGGTACAGTAGCATGCATTCAACCACTACTAAGAATGGGTACTTTTACCTTCTTAATTATTTTTGGCTTTTCCCTTCTGTTTTCTATTACTTCTGTGATCCTCAGATTCACTGTAAAGAAAATGCGTGTTCTAGTGGCCAGCAAATACTGACTCGTTCCTCGTGAAATCAAGTTTGCTACACTCTGAGGCTCGGCCCCGCCAGTGCTGGTCACAAGATGTTAGAGGTGGTTACAGTTTTGTTTTTTACGATGCCAGGTTTCTTTCAAGGGTTGTGCTTTCGGTTTTGTTTTGAACTGTTTTGTTGAAGAGGGAACTGAAGGATATAGCAGGTGCACGTGGATAACTCACTTCTTGTATCAGGACAATCCCTACATAAGGAAGGTGACAATCCTACGTGGCTAATACTGAAAGTAGATTCTTTAACACACAGGTTGGGAGGAAAGATGACTGAAAAGGCTTTTCTATAACTTAGGACTTGAAAT